GAGTGTACAAGCCAGTTGAATGTCGACGGTCAGAATCCTGTTCAGAAAGGGTTTCCAGTCTGTCAACATTTATCGAGTGCTGAAGACAAATCCCGGGCGAGTTGGAGCCCTCAAGTGCCTCCGTTTAGCAGTATATCTGAATTGTAGGGACCCGATCTCGAACCGAGATCTTGTCTGCACCAATCGGACGCCTTCTTCGGGATCATGGCGGTAACCTCGACTGAAGTCGCCTCACGGATCGGCTCATCGCGGCATCGTCCAAGAACCGGCGGTTCGCGAGAGCCAATCGAAGCCGGCCAAGCCAACCACGCCACTTTATGTGCCTCCTGAGGCCAATTTTCGCCGGGAAAAATGTTGGGAATTTCGCCCACAGTTTCGAGGATAACATTGAATTAACATCCATTCCGAGCTGGTTCAAATATTCACATTCGCATAGGTCAAAGTAGCCACTATTTTTAGCTTAATTTCTATAATTACACAAACTCTCGTCATGTTGGCTTCCCGTCCATCTATTCCCTTCGCGTATCCATTCCTCCCGATCTCCCATCGGACACTCTCCCCTTTTTCTCCCCTCGCCCTCGCCTCGGCCCACCTGCACACGACCATGCACATTACAGTTGAGCTAATTGTGTTTTGACCTGGTCTTGTGTGTGTGTGTTTGTTTTTTTTTTATTTATGTGTCTCATCACGAGACGACATGTCGGGTGTCCCGATGGGAGTGAGGCGAGACTGTCAAATCGGGCGTCCATTGGCCGAGACCAGCCGGCCGGGTTTGTATGAAAAAAACGATGGTGTCGGTAGCTGGACACACTCAATGGGCGTCTTACGCCACGACGTCGCCCCCGAAACGGACCGCCTCTGACCCGGTAAGACCTCGTCCAGCCGCCCGGATCGTGGAACCACGCCGGAGTCGCTGAGCCTCTGGACACTTGAGCATAGCGAAACTATACAGTTCACACCTTTGCATACTCGGCCAAAAATCCCTTATATGAGGTGTATTCTATTTATTACGTTTTGAGGAGAAAAAGGAGCGTTTGTTGAATTTCCCACAATCATGTGAATTTCGCATAGTCTTGCTTCTCAAAAGTTATTCTCTTCCCGACGCTCATCGGGAATCAAACATGGCATGTGGCAATGCAGCGTATAATCTTGACACGCTCCCACTAAATCACACTGGCCTGAGTATTCATGGGTGAAAGGGCAGCAATGACTTTCAAGGAAGTCGAGACCTTTCCAATATTTCATTTTTGTGGTGAAATGTATTGATGAATCACTTGTTTATTTGTCATCGCATTGGACTATATTACTTACTGTAGTTTCATAAGTAGACCTGCGAGGCTACCATTAAATCATACATTAGAAGTATATTCCCCTGATTTTGTTTTGAGGTGAGCCTAGAGCATTCGTGCTAATGAGGCGTGGTAGTAGCGTGTCCAGAGTACTCCGGGCTCGATTCCCGATGGCGGCGCGGATGAGACCGGTTCAAGCGAGGTCACAATTGCATTCACTGCCGTCTGGATGTGAATAGGTTTTTGGAAGCAAGGCTCACGCCAATGTGGGAAGATTCGACTACCACTCGTTTATCACCTTAAAATGAAATAGGCCGGTCACATCTCATGAACATGCTTAAAAACATGCATTTACCCTATTCCGTTTAAAGTGGGCATTGACTAGTAGTTGACATTTTCTGCAACCAGATGAACAATTTCGCATAGCCTTGATTTCCCAAAAGGTGTTCTCATCCCGGCTGGAGTGAACTGCACATTCGACTTTGCCTAAGTCTTATCAAACCCTCCCCCCCCCACCCCACTTGTCAGCAGGACTCGAACTATGATACGTTAGCCATGACTCCGCGTTGTCACGAGCAGCCTTGGTCACAGAGCGGATGTGAGTTTTAAGATAGACCAGACATTGCCTCCTATTGCATGCTTTGGTGAGTTTGCTG